GATGAAGGAACTTGGTAAAAAACAACTTTCTGGTGATACTAAATTGGAATCTGTGTTTACTGTGACTTTTCGTCAACAAAAAAGTGATGAAACACCGCGAGAAAGTTCTTGGATTATATTTTGTTGGCTTGGCGATTTAAATGTTGCTGCTACTTATTTTCATGAAACTTTTAAAAGAAAAATAATTGATTATAAACTTATTCCAAATGTTGGAATTGCAGTTCAACTTAATAACCCTGAAGCTATTGGAAGATTATTTTGCTTTCTTCCTCTTCCAATACTAATGCCTTTTCGTGTATCTGTACATGGTCATTTTGCTGTAAGTCTGCATTTAATAAATTTTTTTATCACTTTGGGACATATTATTGATTTTTTGATATTTGTATTTAAAAAGGTCAGCACAAATCGACGTTCGTTATGGTCTGCTACAGATGGCGAAGATTTGGTATATCATTTCAAATGATGAAGTCATATGAATCATTGTTAATGTCTTAATATTTCAAGATTTAATTTTGATGTATTATTTCTATTTAGGCTGAAGGTACATTAGCCAAGCTCAAAGTTTCATGGAACCAATACCTTTTTAATGTTATTCTCCCACAGGCATGGGCAAAGTTTTTAGTCCACCTTCCTAACGAAGCACCTGACATCAATGCAAAAGAGTTCTATAGTTTTTGGCCAATCATTAAAGAATCTGGTTCCGGAGGTTTTGTTAACAATCAAACAAAAAATATTTTGCTAAATACGATTGAAAACTTCACTATTTCTGATAAAGTTTTCTGTGGTCCTCCAAGATCTTGCACACTTGGAAACATGTCTAGTATATTACCATCGTTTCAAAAGGTTTTCATGTCCCGTGAAACTGCATTTCATTTATTCTCAATCGAAAATGGTTTCCTACCGGATGAATCTGCTTCGCCTGATATTTCAAAGATTATTGAAAGCATAGGATTCCCTATAATTAATATTGATCCTAAAGTATACGACGAGTTGAAAAAATCTTGTCATAAAAATTCTTTAAATATTTGTTCTCCACATGCCGTTAGAATGTATCTTCTTCAAAATAAATCAAAATGGGAAAACAGAAAAAGGGAAGATGAAGGAACTTGGTAAAAAACAACTTTCTGGTGATACTAAATTGGAATCTGTGTTTACTGTGACTTTTCGTCAAC